AAATAGCTTGTTCTCATTTAAACAAAAATGAATTTTATGTAAACGCATGCGCAGGCAGTTGTCACTAGTTGTTCTGCGAGAAACTCAAGATTGTACCAGAAGTAGATCAGTGATAACTTCATTAGGAAGTATTTTTCATTACTTTAGTGTTTCCATAGCATGCGTAACACCAGACTTCACGGCACTTAGTAAAGTGCACTTTTGTCAATATCAATGCCTGAATCATCAAAGTTGAAAATATACTCAAACTGATCCTCGACTAACGTAAGTAACACGATATGCCACCTTACGAACATTTAAACTGTCAAAATTAAAAATAGCTACATGGCGTAAACTCACTGTCGGGAAAGAATTCGCTTTTAGACAGGAAATGCTTTTTCAACACAGCTCTTTTTCAGTTTGCTTTATTTTTAAGCCTTCTAGTGCTACTTGTGAGTTGATTCTATGCAGATTTAAGTCATGCAAAAGCTATTTGTGCCATTAATTGACAACTAGTTTCTTCTAATAACAAACGCCTTTTTTGGTGTTGAACATTTGCAAAATGATAACTTACTTTTGAACACCAACGAACAAGTCCTTGAGCCTTCCACGCCTCTTGCACTTAGTTAAGCACTCAAGCATTAATGGCATTTAATTTTAATTTAAAAAAACACAATTTGGACTAGAGGTTGAGATCGTGAGGAGCAGTTCAGCTTTTTCCGGTTATATTTTTGGACCTAACTGCACCACTTTCAGAAACCCCCGACAATAAATCTTAGCTCCCATTGAATAGCATTTTTTGGAACTTTGAGTTGCTTGTCTGAGGGTAAAAAGAGTGCACTCGGTGAAAATAGTGAGTTCACTCCCATCTTTCACACGAAACTGCTAACCTTTTCCATTACTGCTCATTGTTTATGCAACTATGATATTTCGTTTTCTTAATTAATTCGTGATTTTACAGTGTTGCTACGGCAAGACGGGACACAGCGTACACAAAAGTGAAACAGACGGCTGAAAGCTGCAGAGACAAACGTTTGTCGGGCTGCCAGCCTCGCGTTAACGCGCATGCAAACGCATCGGCGTAGACTTGTGAGACTGTAAACCACTGACTTAACACGAGTTCCAAATGGCGTTGTCTTTAGACCTCAGGAACAAAATACGGCTTTTGACCTCCAATGAACTAAAACGCTTTTGATCACGACAAGCAAAAAATTGACATTTACTACTGATATTATCAAAAAAATATAAATTACCCTACAGTTTTTAAAAACTGTGTGTTATGTGTGTTGAATGTGCGCTGCATGAATGGTATTTCTGTTTATTAATACCAAAAAAAACATTTGACTGAAATTTCCTGCCCTTTAAAAAAAAGATTTAAATCTCTAAAATTCTCAAGAAAGGTTACAGGCAAACTGCCAGGGCGATTCTTTCATTTAACACGCCCCTTTAATTAATTGCTATTTATCGGCCTCTCGACTTGGAACTAAATAAACGTCATGTGCGCTATTTGTATCAAGAGTTTGCTCCTAATAATTTACCACATTTCTCTCGCAAGATATGTTAGATTGCAAATATGCAAATAGCGATCTGAATCAAAATATCTTACTTTTGCAGGACAACATTGGGCTAGATTAGTTCCTCTGATAACACAACCTCACATAATTTATGCTAAAAGCCGCATCAGGAGTAGTCGTAATATCACTGATTTATTACTGTTTTTCTCTAATCCGTAATTTTTTTCTTTATGAAATGAAAATTCTGATATGTGTTTAAATTGAGGCTTCCACGAGTTATACCGAGCGAAATTATGGGAAAAAGAAAATAATGCTCATTAATACTTAAAGTTCTTTTTTGTAGAAAAGCGCACGGAACTCGGACGTTGGCGACAATGAAAGCAAGACGTACAACAAAATCACAAAATCCGCTTACTAAAATTCAAGCCATAAAATAGTAGGTGCGAAATATGCTTCCATATTCATAAGGATTGGAATTCTATTTTATTGTTTTGCAAAGCTTGGGATTTGAAGTTAGCAAATAAATGAAAGGACTATACCAACTCGAATCTTTAAGAACTGGCATATTATAACACCTTCATTTTTACCATATTCTACGCATTCAGGCAAGATCAGCGAAGTTACATCCAGTAGATAAACCTTTTAAAATTTATGCAGGCGCCACTTCGATGCAGAGAACTACAGGCAAAGTTCTAAGGCCAGTCAGTTCGTCATTTCTGTTCACACCAACAATTTCAGTAAAGTGTCGAAAGTAAAGTCCTAATGTCTTTTATAAACCGCACACCATCTGTTGTTGCACAGTTCAGATTAGCCTGTTTTTGACTGACAAAAAACATCCACGTAAAATATTTTTTTTATTTGCCATTCGATTAAAAGAGCGTCATGGTTGGAATGAATGTGGTTATTTTCTGCCTCCATGGCTTTAAAGCCATTTGAAGCCTGATTCTAATGTGCTTAGAAACCAAAAGCGAAATTTCACTTGAAAATTCTTTTTTAATTACAGAATGGTAAAAACCTGGCTTACTGCATTGAAGTTGTCAATTTAATATCAATAGATATCTGACAGTAAGCCAAAAATGTAAACAGGTTTCGTGCACCTTAGTAACGTATTAGTCTTTAACGAAATTGTGCTTCGACTAGATTAAGAACAAATTTTCAATGCAATGAATTGGTTAGCAGTTATTTTTGTTACCGAACGATGACCAGACCAGAAATAGACCCATTGCAAACTATTTTTTGTAAATGTTCTGTTGCGTATACTGCGTTTCTTAAAAATAACCCCAGTCTTTGAACCATTCTAGACACTAAATAAATTTAAAAGAACATTAAAATAGAACTAATTAATAGTAACTCTGAGTAACTGAGCAAAGACGGATAAAATGAAGTGATCAAAGTGGATGCTAAGGTAAAAAGGTTATGAGTGAAAATCCAAAACGCTTCGTTGCTTTATTGAAGGGTAAAATAACCGCATTGTTTGAAAACTGGTACCAAGTGTGTTGTTTCCCCTTCCTCTTCTATACAATGCAATTGACAGAGTCCTCATATTTACAAATACCAGCGTCACCAGAAGTCGCCACCTGCCAACTCGTTTTTCAAGTGCGCATACAGTTTCTGCAGACTTTTTTCTATCTCAGTCGGTTAAATCGCTTTTTGCTGGTGCTAATCCACTTTCAGCCAATCTTTTTATAGAACTGTGTGCCGCTGGACGTTTTTAACTTCCCATCAAAACACTGCAGCTTTACTTGCGCCTCACCAACTGCCTGGGTTAACGAAAGGCAGCAATGAATCTTCAGCTTCTAACGGGAATATCTTGAAACAAAGTCACTAGCTCTGTTATCCGACCTTCCACAGGGCGAGTATAGCCTCGCTGTCTCTAATACTCACCTTGGGGCCGACTAAGATCACCCCGCGTCTAGGATTGCGCGAGCCGATTCTAAAGCCGTACTATGACAACGAATAAATCTAATCATCACAACGTAAGACTCACTATTGCACCACTTGGGCTTATTTACTCGTATAATCCAGCAAAATTAGATAAAATGAACACCTTTTTATTGGCTTTTCGTTACATTTCATATGCCCAACCAGATCGTTGACCAGTGCACTGTTCTGAAGTCAGAAAGCCGTAATTAATACCACCGCACGTGCACCCAAGAAGAAGCGTCGAGGTCCACGCAACATAGACAGAACTTTATTCCCTGCGTATATGAAATAAAATATGCTTCCGCGCGGCCAAGCCAAGTTTGCCGATACCAATTCTCGTACGTACGTAAGTGCGCAAATCCCGTCTGCTTAATAGGTATGTGATCTCATCCCAACGCATGCATGCGATCCGTGGCTGCCTTAGTCTCAAATAAACAACACGGACGCATGAAATGTCTTGAGGTGAGTTTAAATACAACTATCCTGTAGGAACTATGACCCGCCAGACGCGGTGTGTCCAGTTTCGGCACAAGTCCATCAACACCGTCATATTTCCCCAATTGGTATAGACTGAGGCTGTCAACAGAGATATAGCCTCGTAGATGAGTAATAAATATAAAGCAACGCACCGGGGACATGGACTCCTAATCGAGGTATCCGTTTCCTCGTTGCACACACTTGGCTGGCAAATAGCATAAGCCAATCAGATTCCGGTTAGCATTAAACGTAGCCGTGCACTTGAACAAGGTAATTATGGTTCACAATATTTTGATTAGTCACAGTTGGGTCAACAAATTGTTCAATACGCTTGAGTGTTTCGATACACACAAATACAAGACTCAGCCTAATGAAATTAAAACTGGTCTTCAAAGCCTATCATTTTAAATTTGTGAGTCAAGCAAACGTTTCAGCACGGGTGAAAATTTAGCCAAGTTTCCAATCCCTCAATAGGAATGCGCAACCTTGACCGTTCGTCTCAGCAAACTTTACAAGAAAGGTCTTGGCAGAACCGTCCTCCAGAGGTCAAACCAAGGTCGAGTCATATTCTAAAATCTAAATTGTGGGCACAATATCACAAATCTTAGCAAAACAAACATTTGATGACTCTCAAGAGGCCACACTGGAAGGTGAGCATTGTCACCGTCAAGATTTCGGCAGCACGGTGCTCCAGCGATATCCCAGTCACAAACTCTGACGGGTCATGCCTTCGGACGGTACTTAAAGTAGTAACACGATGTCTCGCAAAGTGCCAACACAAATGAACAAGGGTTCCCTCAATTATTCATTCTACTGGTCCGTCTTGATTTTCCATTAAGGAGAACGACATTTAACGAGACCCCGCTGGTCGTGAAGGGAAGACAACACTATTAAAAAGCGAGAACAGGATTAAATAGGATATGTGCTGTACGCATGAAATGTCATTTCATATTGTTGAATTATAGAAAAATACTGAGACCAAAACGACATTAGGAAAAGCATGCCGTTACTGCAGCGAAAATATAGTCACAGGTAGTAAATATAAATAAGGTATTTTGGAAAATCGAGAAGATAGTAATAGTGACGATAGGCAGGACACGACAGGTATTAAGATATGACGCAGCCACTCTCGTTGTTTGGGTCCCTGTCCCCTTGGTAAATTGGAGTCTCGGGAACTGTGTGTAGCTTTGCTGCCTCCTTCTTTTTGGCTTGGTACTAAAATAGAAGAGCGAGTGAATCAGACTATCGATTGTAAATTTATCAAACTTGTGACAACTATCGACAAATTTAACCGCTAAACAAGTACCTGACCACGAGATTAACCGTTATAAAACACTCCTACGCTGTTCGAAAAGCCATTCAATTGTTCCCATGTGGAAACGCATCGAAAAGGTGAGCCGAGTGTTCAAAAAAAGTTATAGAACCACTCATGTCTGTGCACAGCACTCATAAAGGTAAACGACAGAAATGCAAGAAGCCGTAGCGAAAACGCACAGCGTCGGACAAAAACAATTTACTTGGATGGTCAAACGCACGGCAGAATAAGTGCAAGGTGTCGACATCACAATTATTTCAGATGGAAAAACTGCAGCATAATGTGCCCGAACACAAGAGAATACAACGTGCCAAAAGCAGCAACAGCCA